ACCGTAACTGCAGAGCACCACCCGGCCTCTGAGAGCTGCGACTGAGAACGGGAGCTCCCTGCTGGATCGGCTCCTCAGTGCTAACCGCTGAATGCTGACTCTGTGATTTGGCAGCAGATGCTGGATGACAGTGCGGACTGACAGTGGCCTCCAATGGCTGATTGGGCCTCTGATCTCATGCAATAAGTCCCACAGCCGCCAGTCCCAGCCACATGGTCCCGGCCCGGGACCCGGTCACGATTCCACCAATCCTACAAGTCCCGTACACGGGCGTGTCACAATGTACACGCAAAAAGCGTCACGCGGCGTAACAGACGTCACGCGCACCGCTCTCCGACAATCGTTACCGTCCGTGCGGCGCTGCTCCGATTGTGCGGCCCGTGCGGCCGGCGCGTGGCATGGGTGTCAGAGGGTGTCAGTGGGTCACGTGTGTGCTGACACCAATCCGCTGACACGGGCATGTGTCTGATAGACTCAAGGGTGATTGGATAGAAGCGGTAGTCACTGAAGCCCACCCCAAGCCAGCGCATGGAGTCAAAAGTCGTTATAGCTTTTGGAGAGCTGTGCGATCGCCATTTACCGAGGTTATGCATTACAATAGCAACCACACTGTAGTACCTAACCACTCATTGTTGCTACAATCACACGTGGAACCGTCAACAATGGTGATATAATGAAATTTGGCTGAACTAATTCTTGAGTGATGCCAGCAACTAGGTTAGCAGCAACAATGGGAATTTTTAACCATAAATGTGAGAGCCTGGAATGGTTTTAACTTTTTACTGCTTTTATTGTTATAGCACTTAGCAACAATCGTAGCAGAGTACCGGTGTGCAACAAAGTCACGCTGATATTTCCGCGACACCGCTCGTCAGGCTCTACTTCGGTCCCACTATAGGTCACTGGGGGATCTGAGTTCTGACCATCTCTCTCCTTCACATCAGGTCACTGTGGGACCATCCCACCCCACCACCGCAGTGACACGGACGGCATACAGTGGCCGCCGTCACTGCCGGCTGGCCTGCATTCCGGCCCGGCGGCCGACCCAGCCCGCCGCGACCGTAACCCAGAGCCAGCGGCGCGTCTGTAGCGAGTAAAAACGGCGCTCCGGCCCGGCTGGCCGCAGCCCGGCCGGCGGGTCAGCCGAATCTGGCACGTGGCGGGCGCCGGCGCGCAGCGACCGCTCGGACAGAGCGGGAACGCAGGGTCGCCGGGGTCAGCAGCGAGGCGCGCGCGCCGTGACCCGGCGCGGTGCCCGTGTCAGTTTCGCCCGTCGGTTCTGATGAGGTGGGTGGCTGGTCACCATTCTCGACTGGTGACCCACTGTGGGCGCCGGTCGCGCCCGCGGGGAGACGGCGCCTGTTTTACGTCACGGCGAGTACATACTGCGCACTCAGCTAATGACAGTCATCACTCACTCGACAGGCCGACCGGTGTGCTGTTGAACGTAACTGTAGTTAGGCTGCACGGCGAGCATACACACAGACACACATACAGACAGGTGCGCCGAGTGGAGACTGAGCAGTTCCGAGTTTCACCGCATTACTGCGGCGGAAGAAATCGCAGCATTATCGGCTATCGCTCAGCCCAGGCTCGACCCGGTTGGAGTCCGGATACGATAATTATCGTATCCGGATATGATACGTTCTGTGATAGCCGATACTTGGCCGATATCTGGTTTTGGTTGAAGGCTATTCAGATATGAGGCTACGCGAAGGCTGAAAGTAGACAAACGGAATCGGAGATCGGTGCGGAGATGGGACGGAGATGGGGCGGAGATGTACCGGAGACGAAGACGGATACGAATTAGACGGACGACAAGACAGAGACAGAGGTGGTGACTGCGAAGGAGACAAGCGGAATAGAGAATGGCTAAGGCAGATACCGGGTTTATCCGTCGTTTCCATCTGGCGTCGCCAGAAAGCACCGCATGTGTCTGACTCCAGGGTCGATAATTTGTCTCACGACCGTAAACGGCGTGTCGTTACGTGTCGTTTCGTGTCGTTCCGTGTCTGGCGTGTCAGGTGGTGTCGACAGACAGTGGAGTCGATACGCCGCGGCTGTCTCCGCGGCTGATGGATGGTCCCCTGGTAGCGGCCCACAGTGTGGGAGACGATCGGGTGTTCACGGGCGATGGGAGGTGGGAGATGATGGGTAGGCGGTGGGAGGGCGATGGGCGATGGGGACGGGAGATGGCGGACGGGTAGAGATGACCAGGGGTTGGCACTTGGCAGGTGTTGCACTCTCGATAAAATAAGATATTATAATGTTCAGTAACGCAGTTGAGTCTTGGTACCTGGTATTATTGCGATGTGCTGCTTCTGTCTCATGTCTGGTGCCCAGTAGGTACTCACTGCGTAGTGTGCACTTTTACAGACTGCAGTCTTGAATAACTTATATTACTTCCATATACGTCACAATCTTCAAGGTTTCATGGAACTTTATGCAAGCTTACAATACCGTGGACTACAGGATCTGGTGTTACTATTACATGCACTATAGCATTCTCCAAGTTTTGGTGATACTGTTAGATGCACCATTACAGTCTCCGATATTTGATGATGCTTAGACATGCACTAGCGCAGTCTCCAGAACTTCGTGATACTGCTATACGCACTGTCGCAGTCTCCAAGGTTTGGTGGTACTGAATTATGCACTATTGCAGTCTTCAAGATTTGGTGGTACTGCTACATGCACTGTCGCAGTCTCCTTCGTTATAGTTGCCTACTGCCTTGTGCATTATTGCAGTCTCCACGCTTTGGGGCTACTGTTATATGCTCTATCGCAGTCTCCAAGCTCTTGTGCTACTGGTTTGTGCACTATTGCAGTCTCCAAGATTTGGTGGCACTGTTAAATGTAAGTACTATCGTTGTCTCCAGACTCCAAGATTTGGTGATACTGTTTGTTTGTTTGTTTGTTGGGGGTTAGGGGCGCGCCGATTACGAGGTCATTTTGCGCCCATATTTGGTGGTACTGCTACATGCACTATCGCAGTCTCCAAGACTTGGTGTTTCTGTCATACGCACTTAGCAGTCTCCAGGATTTTGAGGTACCGCTACATGCTCCATTGCAGTTTCCATGACTTGGCGTGTAGTTCGCTACGTGATCGCCTGGATATAACATCTGATTAACAGCTTGCGGCTGAAAATAAGTGTTTAAAGCATCGATACCACCGTCTTGGTAACACCGAGGCGCGCATCTCCACTCTATCATTTTCCACTGAGTGAGCTCACCACATAATTAATAGGGTAATTTTCCCATGCCTTCGCAGCTCACTGAAGGGTAAACGGACGGGGGAAAGTGGCGATAAGTTAGCTGCGCCTTGTCCGTATCACTGTCGCCATAAATAACGCGTGGACACCACTGGGAAACAACGCGGAAGTTCCATCGGTCGAAGGTCGACTGCCAAACCCAACTCACGTCTCCCATGTCGATTACGAATGCATGCCACGTCCTAATGACACGTGCTTCGAGCGGCTACCTATGACCCAAGCCGAAGCCTTTCGTCGAGAGCCGAAGCCGCCAGAGATTGAGAGCAGCAGACTAGCGGTACAGGTCATTCAGGCTATGGCTATGGCTATGACTATGCTCTTTGTGGGATCATCTGTCCCACTCCCTGTTCCACTCCCCGCAGCTTGATTGCGTGTGAATTCAAAACGTCACCAAGAGCGATCAATACTCTAAATTCTAACGCCCGGTGCCCGTAAACGTCGACTGTGCCTTTTATCTAACTAAAGGTAGTTATGGCTGTTCTGACTATGTCATTGTCTTTATGTGGATGGGGGAGGGGAGGGAGAATCTAAACTGAACACCAATTTCTCTTACAAAACCAGAGGCAGTCGAAACTGACGGTGTCTCTCACCTGACGAGGTTCGCTCGCGGTGGTCGGGGCTGGCCGTGTCGTCCGAGCCGATCCCGCTCGAGTCCTCCTGGTAGCCCGCCTTGGAGCCCGGCTCGTGACGCCCGGAGCCGGACCGGCTCGACTTCTGCCTGACTGAGCCCCCCGGCTGCTGCTGCGGCGGCGGAGGGGCCGCCAGCAGCCCGCGCTCCACCAGCCGCGCCTCGATCTGCTGGATGCGCGCCTTGTTCTCCGGTCTGCCGGCCAGCGTCTGCAGCTGCGCCTCCAGCATCTGCGCCGTCTCGGGCGTGTCGCAGCGGTACGTGTGCACGTGCACCGGACACTTGGTGACCGGGTTGAACACCAGCAGGATGCAGCTCACGATGTCATCGTCCGGCGCCGGCTCGCGCACCGCGCACGTCACCGCGTGGTCGGGCACAAAGTGTTTGACGTGGCCGGCGCGGCCGCGCGCCGCGTGCTGTACGATCTTCATGCCCTTGCCGCTGACCTGCAGTGTCACCTTGCACGGCTCCACGTGGCGCTCTTTGCGCACGAGCTCGGCCACCACGGGCGCCACGTACTGGCGGCCGCGCAGGCCGCGGCTCTCCTCCGCGCCCAGAAACCACACGTAGTAGGCGGCGCGCTCCACATCCTCTCGGCGGCCCTGGCGGAGAGCCATGGCTGAGGCTCCGCGCGACCCGCCCCCTGACCCGGCTGGGAACCCGCTCAGGTACCCCACACTTCCGCGCGCGCCGCGCCGCCCAGCCAAGGTCGGACTGTGACCCGGAGTCAAGGAAATCAACACGCGCGCGGGTAGGTGGTGAGACTTGCCCGGCGAGTGGTAGTCCTTGGTTCAGGCCAGCTGGGTTTGGGACCGACAAGATTCACTTGGCACTGTTCACGGTCCTGCCAGCGAGCTGCACACGCCGTCTGGCACCCTCACTGTGGCCCCGCGCTGACCGGCGCACACTGCTCTGTCTCGCGTCTCGCGCTCTGCCTGGTCACACTCTCCGAGCTTCGACTTGTCCAGAGGTCCAGTCTGGGCGGGCAGCGGACCAGCCGGTGACCCAGGTCAGGTCAGGTCAGGTCAGGTGAGCGGCACGTGTCGCTCGCAGCCGGGTCGGCCGGCCGACACCCACCGCTTCTGACGGCTCGCGCACCAGTGACCGCCGAACCGGACCGGACCCCGGCTCCGTCCGGCACGGCGACGGTGGCGCCGCGGCGGCCGATCCCGGAACTAACCCACCGAAGGCCGTGACAGCCTGGCCGGGCGGCGGCGGCTCCAAGGCCGGCTCCGCTGCCGTCTCTTACACCGGGGAGTCGGGAGCTGGGAGCCGCCCGCGGACCGACGGCCACGCCCAGGCCGACCGATGACAGTGCAGAGTTCACCCACAGGCGCCAGACAGGCTACCACCGACCCTTCACCTCCTCCCCGGACCCTCCACCCCCGAGTCAATGACAGGTATTCCCTGTGTTGGCGCTGCACAAAGGTAACGGTGCCCGGTTCGAATGCAGACAGGTTCCCGGCGGACCTGGTCGGGTGAAACCGAGCCAACCACGCCGCCCGTGAGTCTCACCACTGCACTGGTCCACGGTATATAGCACTGGTCCTTTCAAAGGTAACGGTGTGAGCTAACTGGTTAGTATTTTACCGGACGCTGCAAAGTTTGGGAAGCATTCCACGTTTGTGACGGGTGAGAAGGTTAAAATATTGGAAAGAGAGGTCCCGCGATGTTTAACATTTACAAACAAAATAAATCCCACCGCTCGACGGGGTTGGCAGACACGGGCTAAGAAGCGATGAGCCAAGTGGACACAGGTTGAAAAGAATGGACAAACCCCTGAAATCGCCTTCACCTCTAACAAGTCCCGACCAGCTGTTACTTATGAGAAGTCGAGCCTTCTTCCCTCCACTTCGCCACTCGGGTGCCACTGGCACAAAGCCCGTCTCCGATTCGGTTTAACCAGGTGCTGTTTATTGTATTGGAGCCATGCGGCGCCTCCGTCGGCCGCACAATACTACATACATTCTCTGTTAAGACGACCGATAAGCGCACACAGCACACACAAACACACAAACAATCGCCCATGCATAAACACGACCCATCCTGGCCGGTGGGCGGGGATTTGGGAGATTTACAGCCCGCTCGGCTTCCTACCGCCCTGCCGCCTGGACCAATCCTAGGCGGGCGCGCAGACAGCGAGACCGACGGACCGTAGACCGCACGGACCATTAGGTCCCCCGTCGCGGTCGGACCACGCCGGGACCACGGATACAGTGATCGGCGTACGCCTGTTCATCGGACCGTTAGCTGGGCAGGGCCCGATATGTGCCCCTATACACAGTGCCAGACCGAATAGGGGTGATATACACACACCTCAACGGGATAACATACACCCTGGCGCCGAGTGAACAGAGCTTTACGGAGCGGTGCAGAGCCGTGGAAGCGCAGCGGGCTCTATAGGTGTCGTATAGGACACCTAACATTATAAATGCATGTTCACAGTCAAGCATAAAATGGCGCCGCCAGTTAACTAATCGATAACCACCTGATTCACACATTATTTCAGATCAAATAAGCATTCTCAGATCAGATATACGAGAGGCGCTAAAGGCGTATTAATATATAATTACACAAAAATACAAGCCATAACATGGTAGGCCTAGTGGGGACACGGCGGTAGCGCTCAAATGCATGTCAGCAGCTCGCCGGCCCGAATCCGCCGTGGCGGAGAGCTGAGGGGAAGCAGAGAGAGCGTGGATCGAGCAGCGTCCGCAGCCGCCGCTGGCGCGCCCGGCTCGGCGCGGGGGGTAAGCTCACCCCTCGCTGCATCACCGGCAGACCAGGCTATAGGTGATGCACAGAGCGCCCGTCCGCGGTCCCCGGCCCAGTCCGTCCCGCCTCGCCATCACCCCATCAGGCAGACCACGGGAGAAGCCGAGCGACCGTCTGCCGTCACCGACACTTCGACTGATCGGCGGGCTCCGAGCCAGCCACCGCTCCCTCCCTACCGAGGCCGCCCGGGCCCTCCGCTCTCCCAGCGATAAACAGCTCGACCCAGCGCGACCACCGACGGCCAGTGAACACCCCTCCTTCATAATCAACTACCCATTCCCTCACCCACCACCAGCACCCACCGCCGCCCGTCGGCAGAGATCCCACCGCCGTCCCGTCACCCGTCCCACCCCGGCGCTCTCACAGACCCAGGTGCGCCTTGCTCGAGTGGGCCTCGATGTCGACACGGCAGATGGGGCAGCGCTTGTTGGTGGCCAGCCACTGGTCGACGCAGTCGATGTGGTACAGGTGCATACAGGGCAGACGCCTGTGGACGGTGGGAGGGGTGTCGGTCAGAGGGGATAACTGAGCTCTGCTGGACGGTCATCACGCCGGTTAGAAAACGGGGGAGCTACCTATTTTACGGTCAGGGTTTCTTCAGAATGAATATGCTGAATAGAACATGCGGATGTTCTTTTTTCGATGTGATGCATTTTTGTAAGCAGGCCTTGGATCGGTTCAGAAGCAATCAATGGGTGTGAACGCATTTGACAGACAGTTTATTGACACGTAACAAAAAGATATTGGAAAAGTCCTTCATACCTGACGCATTCCTCATCCTCGAACTCGGAAAGACAGATGGTGCATTTCTCGACATCGGCCGTCTCCGCCCGGGACTTCTGCAGCTGACGAAAAACGCACACGGGACACAGCGGACGTCAGACGAGTCTCAGAACGCGACAAAGTGCCAGAAGGTGACGGAGGAGTCCCAGGGTATGGTGAAGCTCCCAATACAACCATAACTCCGGTAAAAGGACACTACAGCTGGACTGTACAATGGACTGTAGAATCCATCCAAAATTGAAGAACAACACAAGCAGCTTTTCACAGCGGAAAACCTACCACACCAACAGAAAGGTCCGTTTAAAAGTAAAATACCCCATCCCTTTTGCTGCCGCACAACTAATGTGAGCCAATATTTCAGTTTGTCCACGCCCCTACATGACAGGCTTACTTTGGCATAGCACTAACAATCTCACCAGTCCAGTGTGTTCCTACGGCTCCCTCCCCTCCCCCTCCACTGCATCTTTATTCTTTACTGCACCACTCCCGTAAGGCTCCCTTTGCATAGCTCCCTCCCCCCAACACCCCTCCCATATCGTCCCCTCGCGTCACCCACCTTGTATCTGTGCGGCAGTGTGTTGCGCTCGATCTGGGTGCGCGTGGCACCGCGCTGCGCTCCGCCGTGACGCGCCGACTCCAGCTGCGACATGAGGTAGAGGTAGTGGTCGTCGATGTTGGTCGCCGAGAGCGTGGGCCGCTGCAGCAGCTGGCCGGCCGGCAGGGGCGAGATGGAGATGTGTAGGCCGTGGAAACCCATCGGGACCGGGGGATACGGACTGAAGGCGCTGTGCAGACCCGAGTCGGCGCTGGGGGCAGAGCGGGATCAGTCAGTCACAGGCAACAGCTAATGGTGCCACCGCAATCACAGACCCTACAGCTGGTACAACACTTGCACAGGCTTGATGTCACATTGCAGTATCGGAGACACTTCTGACGCCTCCTTCTCTACTGATGTTCTTACCACCCAGAGCCGCGACCAACTGGCACTGTCGGCGAGTGAAGTGCCTTTAATAGTATCCTTCATACGGATATCCTGACCAGCCCGTACATCGCGGGAGAGTCCGACGTACGTCCCTCAGAGGGGCACAGGTCAGGACCGCCGAAACCCTGGGCCACTAATGTATACAAACACCACGACAACAGCCGTCAGTAGGTGAAACGAGTGCGGACCGGGATTCACAGGACATGCACGGATGGAAATTCAATGAGGCAAGGCCCCACTAGGGTCTGCGGTGGGTACTCTTGAACTTGACCGTATTGGAAGTTTAATGCACAGCTTTAACATTATGAAAACATTATTCACTATTCAGTCTGTGGCACGTCAGCAAGCCTTCACACCAAACGAGCTCCCTTTAACATGTTCCGTTCGTCCGGAGACAGGCTCTGTGAATCGGGGGTTCACGGCACACTTAAACGAGGATGTATGATGACGTGTGGGCCTGGTGCATAAAAAAAACGGAAGTAGAGGAGGGAGCAGAGATACAGCTACCCAATGCGGACCATTTTCCATCCAATCATATGCATGTAGACTAAGGCCCTGCTTTCTGATGGGGACGTTTGACTACACTACTCTCACCGAGAAAGGAATACAGAATACTGCCTCATCTCCGTCCCCCTCGTTACGCGTTCAGTAGTCACAAATATCTGAGCGGTAGACCACTTCAGACCAGCGAAAGAACGCCTCCAGACCACTGGAAAATAACCTTGGCACCAGTTGGCAGCTAGCCCAGTCTGGCACACGAGTGGGGGATGCACTAGAGTAGTCCGGCAGAGTACTACTCCTAAAATTCCCCTACCGGAACAAATTGGCAATTTGTTCCAGAATGATATGGTGAAGGGCGTGAAATGCTGGGATTGCCACCGTTTGTATAGTAAGTGATACCAAAACCCGATCACATGTTATGGCCAATAATGGGCTTCCGTGCACTTTTACTTCAAGGGAAGTGTGAAGCTTGTTCAATGTTTACGCATCCCGACGGCATGGACGGGACACAGAGGATCACTAAATGTGACACTTGGAGTGTACATGAGGGCGTGAATAATCGCTTACAATTAGTAAGCCCATAGATACCGTAGCCTTCCCTCAAAACTCAACAGTCAAGTTACGGGACACGGAGGGTAACTAAAACCGAATTCTTAAATGCAATTTTGCGTTAAAATCTCGGTTAATTTTGATTCTGTAGGCGACGACACGTTAAGTAGGCTCGCTCTCTCACCTGATGTAGGTGGGCAGCACATAGGCCGGGTAGGCCGGGTAGGCCGGCCGATATGGGGAGCCCACCACCCACACGGGGTCTGTTCGCTCTCCCTCACCTGATGTAGGTGGGCAGCACATAAGCCGGGTAGGTCGGGCGGCATGGGGACCACCCACACAGGTCTGTCCGCTCTCTCACCTGATGTAGGTGGGCAGCACGTAGGCCGGGTAGGCCGGCAGACCGGGCGGCGTGGCCGGCATGGGCGGCAGGTGACCGGACACCGGGTGGGGCGGCGGCGGCGGCGGCGGCGGGCCACTGCAGCTCGGCGGCGGGCCCGGCTCCGCGCC